CGTGCGCCACCACCGCCCGGCTCGAGGTAGTTTTTATAAAACCCATGTGTACCAGGTCTTTTAAAGTAAAGCAACTATACCCAGGATTATTGCAAAATAATTCATGTAAGAAAAATTATTAAAAAAAAATCCCTAGCATTCAAGATGGTTCAAAACTCATGTATATGGCATAATTTTGGAGAAAATTCATCCACCCAAGCTAACTTTAATGGAAACTAATGCATATAACTAATTTTAAATATTCTTTCCCAGGCTTTAGGAAGCATGCAGATTCCTGGCTGTGTCCACCAAAGTGAACATATGGAGCCCGAGGGTAGGAACTGCAATTCACTCCCCCAGATGGTTGTGATTGACACTAAATTCTCTGAACTAATGATGTCAATACAGTCTGATGGCTTTTGTTCTAAATTTCACTTGAAATGCAATGGACCCTGTGGAGGTCAATGTGGTCTTTGCAGTCATTTCCATAGCAACAAGAACTGGTTGTCTAAGGATGGATAAAAGAAGAGACGTGTAGAAAAACCTACAAAGGCCCAAAGCAGCAACAAACTACTTACTTGGTAATTTTGAATGGGGATAGCTCTATGTTTTACCAGAAAAACATGTAGAGATTACCAGTTGAATATCATGAAGTTTCTGTCTTAAAAGATATGCAATTTCTTCTTTGAGTATCAATATAAAGAGACCATTAATATCAGATGCTAAATATATAATCTCTCTCTCTCTTTTAGAATTGGTGGCTCTATTTTTAGTCTGAGTCAATTCATAAAAAAAAGCAAACATTTATTGGGTCCAATTACATCCATTAACTAGTGCTCAGATTACTGAATCTTAACTCTTCTTGACTATTAGAACCAATTGAGCACCTCAAATCATTATAATTGCCTTGGTCTAACTTCAGACTAATTAAAATAGAATGTCTGGAGAGAGGACTCAGAGCTCCTACTGTATACATCCTCATATCTTACCTATTCAGGCCCTTCTCTTGAGTATAGTGACTTTGCCATTCATTTTTTAACGTGTATGCAGGGAAAACTGGATAGAGTTTGTATGTCTACATTCATAATCCTGTTTTCTTTTCTTTCTTTCTTTCTTTCTTTTTTTTGGTTTTTCGAGACAGGGTTTCTCTGTGTAGCTTTGCGCCTCATAATCCTGTTTTCTAAATCTGGGTTTGTTTTAAGGTGCTAAATTTATTTTCTTACTGTTCATGTGACCAGAGAGAAATTTAATTTTTCTATAGAATGCAATATTTGTTGACAAGTATTTATTATCAAGATTTTTATAAGTGGTTTTATTTTTTATGCCATGATATGACTTCATTTAATTCTCATGGTATATATAGTAACAGCATCATTTTTATTCTATAAATAAGGAAATTGAAGCTTAGAGAATTTGAAACTTGACTCCAAATGATGAGTAATTGTCAAATGGTTTATAAACCACACACACTGTAAAGTGTCTTCCACATCATCATAGGGACTGACATCAGTGATATTGTGGTAATATCACATATCATTGATATTAATATTACCATAACTGTGTTCCCTAGAGAGCCATGTGGATAATACTGGTCTTGCTAGGTACTTTATAGAAAGAACACTATGACTTAAGCGCTTGAGAGATACTGAATAGATTAGAAGTTCTCCATCCATGACAACATATTAAATATACTAAAATCCCTTCAGGTAAGAGAATGTAGAGTGTGGTTCCCTTGGGTTATTTAATCATGAAAACTTCATTGAGGAAGCACTTTTCAGTGGCACCTATTTTAAAAAATGCTTCAGAGCAACCTTGTATTCTAGAAATGATTTCCTGGTGGTAGATGTTAGAAAACTGAAGCTAGGAGATGCTTAGTAAGTCATCTACAGTGATTCCACACAAAGCTGTGCTTGAGTCTGAGTTTGGATAATTTATAAAATTCTCCTTTAATTTTAATGTCATAACTCAAGGTTCAGGATTCTAATATCTGTTATTTCTGATAATAAAGCTGAATTAAAATGGCTGAAAGGTTTAAATGTAATGTTGTATGGGCAAGCATTTTGAAAACCATAAAATACTGTGTAAATATCAGAATTAGATAGTATACAATCTAAAACAATACCAAAATACAATTTATTTATCTATTTATTGAGACTGGGTCTCATGTAGTCTAGGCATTCCCTCGAACTCAGTATGTAGTCAAGGATGATCTTGAATTTCAAATCCTCCTGCCTCCATTTCTTGAGTGCTGGGATTAAAGATTTGTGCGACCACACATGGTTTTATGCCTAACTGGGACTGGGAAATACCACACAGGGCTTCATGCATGCTAGACAAGCATTGTGTCAGTCAAGCTATATTCCAAACTCTCCTAAGGTTAACTTTTGAAAGAAATTACTTCCTTATTCGTCTCTGAATCAAATTTTAAAGGATGGTCTGTGCAGAAAAGTGAGTTTTGCTGGTTTTTGCCAGTCTGACTTTTCCATATCATCAAGGACTCAGAAATTTTTGTAGCCGCTTTAGTATATTTAAACAGTTCTTAGGAAATAAACTTAAGTGGTTTGTAGATTGTGTGTGCTGAATCAATGTCATGAAACTAAGAGTCATGGAGACTTTATCCCACCTGATATTTGATTCTCTTGATTCTGAAAATATAAGTTCGATCAGTGACACACAGTAGACTTTTTCTACTTTAATAACAGTAAATAAATAGTAGATATTTTCATAAGAGCTCATTTATTTAAAGAACAAAGCTGAGAAACCATCATTGCAAGAGTCAATTTTTTTGCTCATGCTTTCTCAAGGAAGCATAAGGTTGGTTAGAAAGAATTGTGACTAAAATCCTGGAACCCATTTAAAGCTAAGCGAGGCCATGCAACATGACTGCCCAGATGCCAAACAACTCCTCTGGAACATATTCCTGGGGATCATTTGATATGACAAGAGATAATCTGTTGGTGGAGAACAAAGACCAACTGATTCCATATTGGAGGAGATGAAAGGGCTGTTCATTTCCCCTACTCTCTGCCAAGGGGGAAAGAACTCAGCGCAAACAGCAGACATTCCCTGTCACACCAAATTAAGCATGCCATTGGCTTCTATGTCACCACACTGAGCTAATGCAGGGATTATTCCCAGCACTTTGAATGCAGGTAGAAAATAAATCTGCAGAGATCTGTAACTAATGCATATGGAAATTCTCTCTGGTATTTATTTTCTCCACCTTGTCCTTCTTGACAGCACACTTGGAATGTATTAATAATGGTGATGGGTCCAGGGAAATGAATGTGAATTTGGCAAGGCTCAGAAAAGATGGCTTCAAGAAGAGCTACTCTATTTAGGGTGAGTGGGAAGGGAATGCAATAACGTGTGAGAAGATGTTCATCATTGCAAAGACTGAGTGTGGGTGAGCAGCAAACAGAAGATGCCATGAATTAGTTCATAGTTTACAACTCTGCTTGGCTCTTCAAGGAAATATATACATATATAGCTTGAAAGCAAATCAGGTCCTTAACGGCTCTGCACCTACAAATGACTGATAACTGCTGTTTGAAAGCCTGATGTTTCTGAGTTTCTATTCAGAAATCATTTTTCGCTGTGCCTCCCATCCCTGAGTGAGGCTCAGATTAGGTAATCCCCCTTTACGTTCAAGTTCAGCCACTATTCTTTCAGAGATGGTTTCTGAATTTTCAAGGGCCAGGACATGAGGTTTTGGGTAAATAATGCATTTAAAAGCTTGAGACTAATTTAGTTAAAAATAAAAAGTGTTATGGAGTTACTTGTATACTTATTGAGAACACATGGCTAAAGGAAATTTGGAATATATACATCTAGAGGACACATGATACAGAGAGAGGGAAGGAGGGGAGAAAGTTTGAAAAGATGAAAAGAAGTGTACAGAATTAGTATTTTCCCATGCTTTGCCCTGTTGTGTCTCAATTTTTGTTTATGAAGAAATGGTCATTTATTTTTAATTCATAAAGAAAGCACAGAGACGACAGTTTTGGACAGAATAGTTTCCTGTGTATATATGCATCTAGGAGTCTATACTCCCCTAAAGCCCTGCATCAATACATAGTGCACATTTGTCCCAGAGGCCTGAGTGGAGTGTCTGGAGTGGTGTATATACATTTTGTTAATATAAAGGGAAAGGTCATGACGGCTACTTCTACCTAGTAGACGCTATCACAAACAACACTCATTACAAACAATGCTACACCTTTTGAAAAACTCAATTATACAGTATGGACTGAGGACTGTGTCCGAATCCCTTTTTCCTCTCGTAATAATTTGCCACATTCTACGTCTGTAGATAAAGTAGTCCCGGAAGTGGAGTTGGTCGGATGGGTTTGTTTACACTGTAGTCCATAAAAGAAACAAAAAGCCTTGCATGCAAAAGAAATGGAAAAAATAAAGAAAGTGAATAAATAAAAAGCAAGAATGAATGTTTCAATGAAAAATTAAATAAAATGAAGCCAGCAGTTATGAAGCAGCACATTAAAGCATAATATATACAAGCTTTTATTTTTCAAATTAGTAGCATAAAACAAGACACTTCAAGAGCAAATTGAAAGTTAAAGCAGATCAGTCTATTCTCAAGACAGTTTTCTAGAATGAGGTCCAGGAAAGGGGTGCTCCATAGTCTCACAATTGCTTTTTAATTCTGGGGAGGGTTTCCATAAAGAAAGAAAGTTATAATGAATCATGCTCAGGACTGGGCACCCAAAATAGTTCACACATGAAAAAGTGGTTCTAGTATCCGGTTACTAATCAAAACCAGCCATACAAATTCCAAGACTCTGCAAAATGAACATGTGAAACCCTATCCTGAAAATTATTAAGGGTTTCATAATATTGGTAGTAGAACATTAAACTGGCTGTTTTGCTAATAGCTCTTAGCTTTGAGATTCAAATGGTATCTTTAAATTAATCTAGCAGATGAATATACTATAATGCCCTGGGGCTCTCTATTTTATTTATTTTAGTAAGAAATTGTCTTAAATCACAGTCATTTGTGAGTTTTTTTCTCCAAAGCATCTACATTCCAGGTGTGAATACCTTTACAAATAAAATAGGTTAAAAATGGCTTGACTATTGAAATTGCCCATCATCCTAGATGCAATTTTGAAAAATAACATCTGAAATGTATTTTATTGTCATTTTGTGTTGTTTTTCATATTTATAGGAAAATTGTATGAATTATCATTTCACACATTATATCTTGATCTAAGTAAATGCCCAATTTAAAAATATTACTTTGTATTTTTATAGAAATTATTTTACAAGAGTACATGTACTCAGAATGTATACTGAAGGGCTGGTAATATTTCTCACAAGTGTCTTCTGTAATTTTGGATTTATGCCCCTCTTGCTCTTTCTATAGTTTCCATCTTAAGAGCAAATAACTGTTGAAAAAATTAACGGAATTTTGAATTTCTGCACTGTCATTCTAAATTGTGCTAATTAGATTTAGTGCACAAGACTTTTCCTTCTTCTCATTAATAAATGATAGCGCTGCAGTGCCAGCAGCACCTGGCAGGGATTCAATGCTCTTTGCTCTAACTCAGAAATGGCTCTTCTGGGCATCTAATTCAGTAGGCTGTTACCAAAAGGGAAAGTATCCTTAAAATTCTCAAATTTAAGACAGCACGTTCAAAGGCAAAACTACCCCGTCTTAGGAAGAGATGACTCACCTGCTCAATATCATTGTTCTTCCGCGATTTGTATATAAATTCTCCAATGGCTACAAACACAGAAAGGACCAGTCCTGCAGCCAGGACAATGAAGATGCCCCCAATGTTCTCCACTCCCAGGGCGCTGGCTTCTTTGCTGTCTTCCTCGGGGCAGCCATTCCCCCGCCACCACTTCTCCTTCATCATGTGGAGCTTCCCTTCCTCTTGCAGCTGAAGAATGGCAATTGTGATTTTATCCCGGTAAGGAGACCCTGAAAGTTGGGGGTGATTGGGATGGTGGTCATCAAAGGGATAAGGAGATATTAAGACATTACACTATCCTAGAGATAAATGCTCTAGAGTTGTGAAACCTTGATGCATAAATCTGTCAGCCAAAGCTGGGAATTTCTGATCTTATGTCTTGACGGCTCTAACTAGTTAGAGGAGGGAGAGGTGATATGTTGAGGTTCACTCTGGCCCCAAGGTGTTCCTGATTCTAAATAAAGAAACGTTAAATAGGAATTCTATGACATTTCTGCTTCTGCTGAGTTCTTCACCAAATGTTCATAACTCAAGGGGTTTGTTGTTTCGATTCTACCTTTTCTGGCCTCTTGGTGCTCTTTTAATTGTGGCTGAGTTTGGCCATTCTTCCTTCTATTTCTCTGTCTTCATTAGAGCTCAGCTATGGCCACATTTCTGGCCAAGGGGAGCTAAAGTGATGGATGACATTTCTAGCCTTGTGTCATAAATCTTCCCAGCATGCTCTGCTTGCTCTCTTTCCCCAAATACACTGCAGTAAGGAAATGCTTTCAAGTCATCAGTGATGGAGGAGCCACAGAGTAGAAGAAATTTGCTCTCTAGGATCACTACACGGAGCAGATCCTTCTTTTTGACCAGACTGAGCTATGGCACTCAAGGAATGCTAACTGTGGAAGACATTAAAAAATTCAGATGGTGTTTATAGTGGTTCGTCCATACCAATTAGTATAAAATACACTCTGAATAATTCTGAGATGCTATAATATTCTATGTCAAGAATTTGGTAATATTTATGGTCTGTCTTTTCATAATTCCATGGAAACTTTAATTATGAAGGGTTGGAAAGTGCCAAAGTGTATACATTTGGACATAGTATCTTAATTCTTAACTCCCGTGTTAATCAGTGCAAAAGAGATAAAACAAAATTCCTTTACTCCTTTATTTCCTTGGACGGCAACATTCTTGATAGTATTTTTTTCTCCTTGGTAGTAGGAATCTCCCTTTGCTTACAAAATTTAAAGCAATTGCTGGTGGAGATAACTTAAAAAGTCAGGTATCTTAAAGACAAGAGAAAATCCTAAAAATAATAAAGTCAAGGCCATTTGTTAAATAGATTTAAAGAAATTTAAAATCTGAAGTTATGATTAAGAACCAAGAATCTAAGTCAGTTTTCCTCATTTCTTACATCTCAGCACTATTTCTGTGAAAGTGCTCCTGGCTGTTCTCCCATCCCCACAGATGACTTATGTCTTATGTCACAGCTTAAGTTCAATAAGCTCAGGCTCAATATTTTGTCATTTGTCATTTATTTTTTCATAAGTCTTAAAAAATAATTGTCAACACTCAAAATCTACTTTGAAAGAGGACTGAAATGCTTTAGAGGGAGATTATAGCTTGTCAATTCAGAGTATGGATTTTGGGGTGAGAAAATGGATTTTGAAAACCAAATAAGAGATATCAGGTATTTGCTTAAACTTTCTCAGAACAATGGGTAGAGGCAAAATTAGCAGCAAGAGAGCACAAGCAAATGAGAGAACCTGGAGTACTTTGCTTTAAGGTACATGGAAGTGCTTTGATGAGCGTGAGAGCAATACTCCTGGCCATGGCTGCACAGTAGTCATAGTGATCTACGCAGTGGGTACGAAATAAATGCTTGCTGCCACTCTCTTCCTGCCTTCAGGCTGCACAAGACCTAACACATTACAGACAGATGGAGAGCCAATCTCTGCTTAATGTTGGTCTCTAAGGAAGGTAATTTCCAGTCTTCCAGTAACCTGTTTAAATCTTAACTGCTCTCATTCTCTTGAAGTTTTATTTTAAATCCCTCAGGAGGCACATTTCTAGAGCTTCTGTCCTGAGAGTCTCTAGGCAGCAGTTTTCAATTTTAGCTTGTGACTGAGCCAACTTTGCCAATCTTCTATTATGGGAGAGACTTCGGAGCCTCTGGGGACTCAGGGCAAGACTAGCCATGGCAGGGACCTTTTTACATCTCCATATCTTTTTAGCTTCAATCTTTGTTACTGCTTAAGTGGCCTAGTTGACATCAGAACTAACTTCTTGCAAATCATTTGGGGAAAATAATGTATGTGTACACATGGATCTTCCTGAATAGCAACTGATCTTCCTTCAAGAATAAATTCATCATAAAAGAAACATCTCTCAAATGTTTCCAGCAGCTGTATTCCCCATGGATGAGTTCACTCTGAAGCCCACCATCTGTTCCAATTATTCCCTCATTGTTTTTGCTTTAAAAGCATGACAGGTTTATCACCACTATGAAAAATTTCTGGAGTATATTTCTTTTCATCTAGGAAGGGGAGATGGAGGCTCTTTAACACTAGCATTTGCTACAGGTGAAGTTGGCAAGAGAGAGCCTGAATGAATCTATTTAGGTCTCTCTGTGTAATAGATATCATCATATGCAAATGGAGACAGACTCATCACAGAGTCAGCCACTCACAGGAGGGCAGACAGCAATCCACAAAGTGCCAGATTCACTCAGCAGAGTTGCAGGAAGGATCAGCTGCCACAATTCCTGCCTCACACCACCACTACACTGTCAGAAAGTTTAGATTGCAAGTATTCCATTCTTTTTTAATTTTTTTTTCAGAGTTAAGGATCAAACCCAGGGCCTTGCACTTGCTGGGCAAGCACTCTACTACCGAGCTGAATCCTCAACCTCTAAATATTCTTTGAAAGGAATACGAATTAAATTCTCATGTTCACGTGCAGCTGCTCTCAGAGTGATATGCATTCTCTTTTTCTGCCATTTCTACACACAGAAAATTTGGTGTCAAAGAGGGGTGCTGAAGGGATAGGGTAGGGGTTGTAAGATAGAGAAGATGGGATGAGAAAGGTCCCCGTAAGATAATCTAGTTTAAAGATGGCTGAATTAAGAAACTCCAGTTGCTACTCAAGAAGACACAGCACGTACAATCAATCCTGCGGTCCCAATTCTGCAAAGATTAAGGCAAAGGCATCCTTTACTGGTATTTTTTTCCTGACTTATGTTTCATTACTAAACCAGCTGTGGGGAAACATAAAGAGCATTTGCTCATCTTTTTTTTCATGCATATTATCTAAAATGAGATGGCCAAGCTGTGCTAGGCTATCATTTTGAAGGCCCCAAAGGTCCATTATATTCATTTAGTCATTGTCTAACAATCTTCATAAGCCCCCTGAAAACATGTTGAATAAATAAATGGTGTAAGAGATTCCCACTTGGAGAACTACCAGGAACACTGATATTCCCATCAGGAAATGTCATTGGAATTAGATGGGCACCCAGTTTTAGCTCTCTGCCTGCTCCTTTTCCCATGACACTAACTAGCTTACTTCTTTAAGTCTGATCAAAAGCTTCACTGTTGATCTTTTGCATCACTGGGATGCCCTCATTGGTTAAGCTCTGTGTCTTTGGGATACAATTTTTTTCCTCCTTGTTTCTGTGTCACACGACTTTGAGATTCTTGAAAGTGTGTTCCTAATTGCTTATTTTAATTGTTTGTCTGTCATCTTGTCTATGGGTCCAGCTTTCATCTTGTGTCTGTGATGTGATATTTATGCTGTGTATGTTACTGTGTGCCACCTTTAGTACATGTAACATAAGTTCCTTCAAAAGAGTTTAATTCATACTAGCCTAAAAATTAGTAAACACATATGTAAACTTAAAGTTTAGCTAAGTACATTACATTTAAAAGAAGAAATTAGTCATTTTAAATTGACAAGAAATTTCGAACATGTGTTCAAGACTAATATACACTGGTCTTTTATATTATGATGATGATGATGATGAAATAATGTTTACATTTTTTCATTTCATTTGCTTCCTGAATTTTCATTAAAATATTGTTACTGATCTGTTACTTATAATATTTAAGAAAATTGACTTAAATATACTTTATATTCTATCAAAATAATTATTTATTTTCTGCTAAATTTTTCACTACTTAAGAGACTGACTCTTGAGGAAGATGGCGCAGTCTCAGGGCACCAAGAGGAAAGTCTGTTATTACTATGATGGTGATGTTGGAAACTACTGTTATGGACAAGGCCATCCAATGAAGCCTCACCAAATCTGCATGACTCACAATTTGCTGCTCAACTATGGTCTCCACAGAAAAATGGAAATCTATCATCCTCACAAAGCTAATGCTGAGGAGATGACCAAGTACCACAGTGATGACTACATTAAGTTCTTGCATTCCATAACATGCCTGAGTACAACAAGCAGATGCGGAGATTCAATGTTGGTGAGGACTGTCCAGTGTTTGATGACTTGTTTGAGTTCTGTCAGTTGTCTACTGGTGGCTCTGTGACAAGTGCTGTGAAACTGAATAAGCAGCAGATGGACATCGCTGTGAACTGGGCTGGCAGTCTGCATCATGAAAAGAAGTCTGAAGCATCTGGTTTCTGTTACATCAATGATATCATCTTGGCCATCCTGGAACTGCTAAAGTATCACCAGAGGGTGGTGTATATTGGCATTGATATTCACCCTGGCGATGGTGTGGAAGAGGCCTTCTATACCAGGGATCAGGTCATGACTGTGTCCTTTCATAAATATGGAGAGTACTTCCCCAGGAGCTGGGGACCTATGAGATACTGGGGCTGGCGAAGGCAAGTACTATGCTGTTAACTACCCCCTCTGAGATTGGATTGATGATGAGTCCTATGAAGCCATTTTCAAGCCAGTCATGTCCAGAGTAATAGAGATGTTCCACAGCCTAGTGCAGTGGTCTTACAGTGTGGCTCAGATTCCCTATCTGGAGATAGGTTAGGTTGCTTTAATCTGACCATCAAAAGGCATGCCAAGTGTGTGGAGTTTGTTAAGAGTTTCAACTTGCCTATGCTAATGCTGGGAGGAGGTGGATATACCATCTGTAATGTTGTTCCATGTTGGACTTACAAAACAGTCGTGGCCCTGGACACTGAGATACCGTACAATAACTACTTTGAATACTTTGGACCAAACTTCAGGCTTCACATCAGCCCTTCTAATATGACTAACCAGAAC